ATTATTTATTGTGATTTCGTCACAATGCCGGACTGCAATTTTGAATCATATTTTTAATTTATTTCATTTAAAATGTATGCTCTCTATCTCAAATTAGTAGTGTCTTGCCTCTGTACATCATACTTTTCCGTTGCTAAAGGAGTCGTGCCGGTAATCTACTTATTCTTTTCAGGAGAAAATTATTGAATTAAAATAACGTAACTTCCAGTTTGTTTCGGAAGTTCGTATATAGTTAATCGGGACCTCCTGCCCCTAAGATTTCTACGCCTGGTCTTGTCTTCCATCTATCTAACTATGTTATCGAGAGCAAGGAATGACAATCATACGGACGACAGAATCTGTAATTGCAGCCCAATTAAAGAAATCTTTCAGCAAATAGTGTACAGTACATTAACAATGGGTATTTAGCGTTATCACCTCTAAAATTTACATAAGTCGAAAACATTTACGTTAATTCACTTTTATAAACCACTTAACCACTTAAAAGAACCTTAACAACTTAAAAGGATTTGATATTCAACCCGAGTTCAAGTATAACTCAGAAGACGATTTAATTCTCAGGTATTTTATTTAAATTTATTCGAATATGAATGCTCTTCGATCCCTCTTCAGTAAATGCCAAAATGTTCGATAGAGCCTACACTAATATTTCGGACTCTTCAAAATCAATCGCAGTAGCCATTACTATGATTGACAGATACCACATAGCACTTGCCTGCGTCCAATTAAAAATGTTATTCTGTGAAAAATCTATAAGTATTTAATTTTCTACATCTAAAAACTCGGATTTCTCATTTGTGAACGTTAAATCTAATAAGTGAGCTCCAGTAGCCGAGTGGATAGAACTACAGAACACTGGATAAAATTGATTCTATGCGATAGAAATTAAATGCGTGAGGTTGAAAACCGATCCAATTAATATAATAATAATCTAATTATATCTTTTTCATATCAATTATTCTTTGGTAGAATTCGTTTTCGCTTAATGTCGTATTTTCCAAGAACCTATCGACAAAGTTGTGTTAGAATTTGCTGCATATAAATTTAAAACTATAAATTTATTACGACAAAATTCGTATAAAAAGATTAAATTAACAATTATAAATAATATATTTTTAATAAAATTAAAATATCGTAACACAGTTTTTTTTATTGTGTTTCTTTTAATGTAGGAAAATACGATCATAAAAAATTTCACGAAGCAAGTTTGAGGAAATACGAACAATATGGCCCTATCGTCAGGGAACAACTCGGTGGTTCTTATAATGCAGTTCTACTGTATGATCCTAAAGATATGGAAAAAGTATTTCGACACGACGGGAAATACCCTTCCAGACCGGGTATCGAATTTTTAGCAGCTTACAGAAATCTTAGGCCACAATGGTATAAATCTGGAGGTTTGGCAGTATTGTAAGTACAGATATTAAACTAAATTAATAAATTTGAAAAAATTATTGATAAATATTAATTAAAATACCTACGATGATACAACAAATTTAATTGATAGAGAAGGTAAAGAATGGGGCGAATTTCGTGTAAATGTGCAACAGACATTATTGCGACCAAAGTCAGTTCTCAATTATCTAAATCCTATGGATCAGGTAGCTAACGACATGATAAATAAAATTAAAAAGTTAAGAAACGAGTCGAATGAAGTCCCAGAACTCTTAAGCGAGTTATACAAATGGGCTTTGGAATGTAAGTGAATCTTTTAAATGTCTTACAGTCATTGTTCGACGATTATTTTATATTGTACAATTTATTTATTTCGAATTTAGCTTTAGCTTCGATGGCTCTTGACAAAAGATTGGGATGTTTGGAAGATGATTTAAAAGAGGATTCGGAAGCGATGAGAATGATCAGAGCAGCACACGGAACATTCCAAGGGATGAGTGATTTGATATTTGTACCAATGCGTCTTTGGAAGTACATTCCAACAAAAGCTTGGAAGCAATTTGTTGAAGCTCAGGACGATTTTGCAAAGTAAATTGTTTCACTTTTAGATCATCTCAAAATAATGTTAAATGCTATCCGAAACAAATTTCTAATGTATTTTTTTTCTGTTTTCTATAGAATCGCATTTAAATATGTAAAAGAAGCAATGGAGAGAATCGAAAATAGTAAAGACGAAGACAGAGAAATGACTTTTATCGAAAACTTATTAATGACCAAAAATATCGATCACAGAGATGCAGTTACCATGTTACTAGACATGTTACTAGCGGGAGTTGATACGGTAAGATATGTATAGTATGAAAACTGTAAATGCAATTGTTTGTTTCATATAAATTTCGAAATAGTATCGATATATTGCTAACTGACAATATCAAATGAAAATGTGTGTAGTTTTTATATTGGAAAATTGCCAATTAGGGGAATAATTTGGAAATAGTCTATGCTATAAATCAGAAAAGGATACTGGACTCATATAAGTTAAACAATAATTAATTAGCGCATATACTTTTGGAGAAATAGCTCTTTGTAACTTATGTATTGGTTTTCCTTTGTAACTGTGTTTAAGCGAATATCATAAGTTCTATATAAGTGCATATAATACGTCGTCTACTGAAATGTTAATTATTATAGCGTAAACGTGTTCTAATTTGAAAGTAAAAATACGCGTTCGTGCTAAGTCAACTGCCGTTTTCAGTTTTAAAAATTGATTTTTAGAAATGAGCCAGTCTAGAAATTCGTCTGATTCTTCTTCTCTTCAGAAAAAACGTCCAATTTAAGAAAACCTGGCTTCAAGTGAATGAATTCAAAAATTTGTTAACTAGTAGTAATAATAATAATAGAGTTTGCGCACATGTTCTACGTTATATTTACCGGGCGTTATAATTAGAAACAACGTTAAATGATGTTTGCGCATCCAAGCAGGTTATGTTTTAAGAAGATAACAAATATAGATGCCACTAAAGCTCTCGTTTCGTTTTCTTCTGGAGATATCGAAGATAGTGTCGTGGCATTAACAATTAAATAATTAAGGGTAAAATTGCACTTATGTAGTCCCTATGGCGGCACTTCCGCTCGCCATCTTGTTTGTGGACGCGACGTCCACAAACAAGATGAAGACCGGCGTAGCTACTTATTACACCGGCATTTAAAGAAAAAAAATCTTTCACTCACCGTTGACGTATTTCTAATTCCTTTTCTCTTATTTATTCGGTAAAAAACACGGTTCGGATGATTCTTTCGTAATTTCATCCTTTTCCATCGTAGAAACATTTTCCGCATTCACACACATGTTTACATTCTTCCTCTTACGATTTTCGGACTTATTGGTACTTACTTTCAGGGCTGAAGGTACAATATCTGGCTCTTTCCAAACTGAAACACGTCCCATTCCCGGATAAAACTTACTCGAAGCTGAACAAACAGTTCGAACAGTTCTCTTAGTTTTTTTCCTTTTGCTCACAACAATCTCGTCGATTTCGACAATCTTTCCAGGTCCATCCAATCTTCATTCCGGTAAAATTAGACTATGAAACCATCATAATGTGTAGCACGAAATTCGCCCAGTCAACAGCTGTTCGACCACTCACACCCACAGCCAAACAGATGACGCTCAACGTACCGTACATTCTATGCAAATTAGATGCCAAATAAACAAAAAAATAGTTTCCCAAGAAATTTTCCCAAATTTACGTCGAAAAATTACTTCAAATGAGGAACTGTTCGTATTGTATTTATGACATCGAAAAGAAACAGAATCACGATCCTTTCGATAATTTCATTTACCACGATCATCACATTTCGAACAATCTGCATCTGCAAGTTGCGTACCAAACTTTATGGCAAACTTAACATCCGATGAAATTCTCTTGTCAAGATTAAATTCAAGATATTCCGATACTAAAAAATGAAAGAAACCTCTTGAAGTACACTTTTGCCAAGAAAGTTGTCGATGTTTTCCAAACTCCGACAATACACAACAAAATATCAAATGTAAACTTCGAAAAAAAGATTCACACAACAATATACTGTATAACTTTTTAAACCTGAATAATTAAATTACTCTTAATAAAGTTATAAAATGTTAGGAAATTAATCTAGAACTGAAATGACGTTAGAAATCTTGTAAACTAAAGAAGCGACACCTAGATTAACTTTCAAAACACACGGGTTGTCGAGAAGTGGCGCCATAGGGCTACCTAGATGCACTTCTACCGAATTAAAAGATGATAACTAAAAGCGAGATTGCAAACACAGATACCCAAGCAAAAACAATATAACCGATAAACACCAAGGGCATTCTTATGTGGGCGTGCGAAACGATGACGATGCATCGACGTTAATAAAGGATCAAATATGATTGGTTCCGCAATTTTAAAAAATTAACTTCTAACGTAAACTTTTTCTTATGTTTATTCTGATACATTATTCATAAAGTTATAACGGATACGCCGTGCTCAAACTCTGTAATGGTATTTCTTCAGCTAGTTACATCGTTTGCCAAACATCATTTAATGTTAAATATGGTGGAATTACAAGGCATGCCGATTGGGAAAAGCGTGAAAAAAGTTTTCAGGCTTTTACCAATCGACAATTTTTTTTTTAGTTATTCAGTGAAAATTGTATTGCAGATTCACCAATTCTTACTTAGGCCTATTTACTTTTACAGACGTCACACACGACATCATTTGCTTTATATTTTCTCGCAAAAAATCCTCATGTCCAAGAAAAGGCATATTCAGAAATTAAAAGTCTTCTTTCGAAAGACGAACCTTTGACACCAAAAATAATGAACGACCTCCATTATCTCAAGGCTTGTATTAAAGAAAGCATGAGGTAACTTCATGTTTTTAGATTCTTTTAAAGAATTTATTTTAATACACTATTTAAACAGATTATTAAATACAATAAAATAATAATTACCATTCTTTTATAGGCTCTTCCCAATAGTTCAAGGCACTGTTAGGAGTTTAGATCACGAAATCGTACTCTCCGGATATAGAATTCCAGCAGGGGTATGTTTAAATTGATTATTCTGTAATATATATCTCAATATAAATTTAATACAGCGTTCCTTCGTTTTAGGTAGTTTTTATGTTTCAAAATTTAGTAGCTTGTCGACAAGAACAATACTTTTACCAAGCTGATAAGTTTATTCCCGAGAGATGGTTGGAAGATGATAAACAACATCACCCTTTTCTGTTTTTACCCTTTGGATTTGGAAGAAGAATGTGCATTGGACGAAGAATTGCCGAACAGGAAATGCTTCTTATAATTACAAAGGTTTGTGTACTATTATTTTCATCATTTATCAATAAAACTTTAAAATATAATACACAGTACACGTTCCTTTCAGATCATTCAAAATTTTCATTTGGAATATGACCATGAAGATATCGACTGTTATTTCAGATTAGTAAATGTACCAGATAAACCATTGAGATACAGATTCATTAACCGCGAATGAGTGACAGTATATTAATAAAATAAAATAATTGTAAATCAGTAAGATTAGTAACATTAGTATTTAGGAAGATTAAATGTATATTATCACTATTCAATTAAACTAGCAGTTCTTTTTGTATAATACGCTTATGCGCTGTATATAAAAATAAATAAATAAATTACTTTCAAAATATTGTATATAATTTTGGAAAGTTTTTTAAAGTACAGGCTAGTGTATTTAATCCAATATTTTGATTCACTATAAATCCACAGAAACGGAAGATTACAATGCAATTTTGATAGTCGGTTTTGTGTTGTGTTGACTTTCAGTCAACAATCGCATTGAGGCTGTTCTACCACTAATCCAATTGATTTTCTAGGATTATTTGAGTATGGCATATATGGAGATGTTCTGTATTTAATAACAGATCACATTCGATCCAATAATTTAGTGTCTTATATCAAAAGTCACGATAGTGACTTTCCGACAAGTAAAAAAATCACTGAAAATCAGTACATATACAGGAATCAAAGTTGAGATTTTCGGGAGTCGATTTCTCAGCCCCCAAACGCGGTAATTTCGAATATTTCGTTTCTTTCGAAGGAAAATTGTTTTCTTAGGTAGTGTGCAAAATTTTAAGATACTGTATAAAACGTTTGCCGAAATATAAGCAATTGAAAAGTGCAAAAATATCCAAAAAAGTTGTATTTTCTTCTCATTTTTCTTCATCGGCACTGCAGACGCTCGTAGAGAAAAAACTATTGTGCCTAGAAAGCTCAAATTTTAAACTTAAGCCCTTTTCGTTATCAGTGAGGTACCAGCGAAACTTCCGGGTCGACAGGTCAAAGTTTACGGGGGTTTTCAATAGAGCTAATTCGGTTTTACGGCTTCATTTTATGCTTATAAGAATAAAATTTCATGGAAACATCAATCTTCTTCAAAATGTATGGTACTCAGAATTACAGAAGCTCAAATTTATTCCAATTAAAACTTTTTATAACGATTTTACTAAACGGCGTTCAGTAACATGATAATCATCAATCAATCTATATATATAACCCATTCAACGGATGTCCGTCTGTCCCGTAACCGTTTGATAACGGACACTAGAAGCGCCCCTATCGTGTGTCATATTTCAAACATTGAAATTAACAATTTTAATTCTTATTTAAATTAACAATATACATTTTTTTTATTCATTTGGCCGATAAATTATTATTTGATCAATATAAATAATTCAGTATATTTGTAATAGGAATTTATTATTTCAGGGGCTTATATCTCTCGAAGGGTCGCGAGTAGGGATATGGTTCCTTTGACTTTATTGTTAGTACAGGGGTCTACGGTTTGGGGGTCGCCACCTCTTCATTCGGAGGGTAAATCTTATCATTCGGATTTTAACAGAGCTGTACAGCATATTGATAGGAACAAAAAAGTCAAAGGAACCGTGCCTCATGGAAATTTGTAAAGAACGCCCACTAGGGGCGTCCCAGGCTACTGGTATATATACAGTAGACCCCCTATAACGCGCAGATACGTTCCACTTTATAAGAATTTTACGTTGTAGGAATCCTTAAATACATGAGCCAATAACAGCCCGACATGTATGAAATTTACGGACTACGGTTTTTTGAAAGGTTTTCTTCCATAAAATTAACCAATTCTAGACTAATTCGACTCAACATTTCCAAAACACGTATAATTTTTTGGGAATAATGCGTATAAACTATGCTATAAACAAAAAATTGTAGGATTACTTACCGAGTATGCACCATTCGACATCGCCATTGCTTAAGCTTGTTTTCGTCGCGGAGCAGCGCATCAAACGGCGGCCGCGATTTCTGATAAGTTATTTTTCTGCGAAAACTTGGTTGAACTTTGGAGACATCATTAATATAAATAATTTTTATGGCCGTTGAATAAGAAATGTTTCTTTCACAAGAAATGCATAAAATTACAGTACTGTATTAGACTTACGGTACCNTTGTCGCGACAGGAGTCGGCGACGACGTTTTACGAGTCACTTTATACGAACACTGCTACAATTTTTTCGCTACGTTAAAGGAATTTCTGTTATAGGAACCTACGTTATAGGGGGGTCGACTGTATATTATAAAGGTAAGTGTACAATGTGCGTGCAGCTAAAACTCAAAAACGAGTCCTGGTACGATCAAGGGAGTTATATGATATGGTAGCCCTCTATCTCCCATCCATGAAGAAGGTTCCCGTTTTTACCTGAAGGACATGCTGTTGAAGATATAAGGGCTGGAAGTTAAGGCTTACCCTAAAGAACTCGGCTTCTATTGTACTATTTTTAGATGCGATTTTTTGCGTTTTTGACTGCGTTTTAGTAGGCTACCAAATTTAGTAGGGTACCACGGGGGGTGAAAGAAGTGTATTCGTTAACAATGGAAGTGTTAAGAATGAAAGTGTTGAGTAACAATGGAAGAGAAAGCGGCGTGCAAGATTTACAGGCGCAGGTGCGGTTTTTTGCGTTTTTGCAGAAAATCGAACATATTTTTAGACCCATGTAAAAATTCTCTAATTAGTCTGGAAACGGAGGACCTAATTCTTGCATTCTGTGAAAACGGGTAAGATGGCTATAATGTAATTATCTTAATCTTTGCTATCGTTACTTTTTGCCCCGGACTCATCTGCTAGCATAAAATATATTTTGATATATACACAGATGACGTCATCGTTTCGTTCTTCTTCTTCTGTCCTTGCATTCTTCTAAGAGAGGTTGGTGGCCAGCAAATACCACTGTTCTCTTTTGTGACTTTTATGAATAATTTCTTTCGCATCCAGTCCCGTCCATTCCTTGAGGTCGTCCATCCAGCTCCGTTTTCTTCTTTTCCTTGATTTTTTTCCATCAATTTTGCCTTCTAATGCGGGTTTGAAGATTTCATATTTTCCCCCCTCAATATGTGTCCACAGTTTTCTCTTCTTAATTATATTTATTAATTCTCTTTCTGTATCTGCCATCTGTAAAACTGTTTCATTAATGGTCCTGCTTGTCCACTTGATCTTCATTATTCTTCTGATTGACCACATCTCAAAGGCCTAAATTTTCCTCTCCATATCTTTCCGTAGTGTCCATGTCTCATATCCGTAAAGCAAAATGGGCCAAATATAGCATTTTAGCGTTTTTAGTCTTAATTGAAGCTTCAGTTTCTTTTCACACAGAATGTTTTTCGTCTGGTTAAACTTGTCTTTAGCCTGTCCAATTCTGCTTTGTTAAATTTATTGTTTGAATAAAATTTTTTTCCTCAGTAGCAGAAGCTAACTACTTGTTCTAGGTTCTCTCCTCTGCATTTTAGCTTTATTGTGTGTGTATCTTTACTTACGCACATTGTCTTAGTCTTCTTTATATTTATTGTGAGTCCCAATTTCTTCACTTTTTGATACTAGTTTGATACTAACAATGTCTGTAATTCTTTTTCTGATGCAATGAGAATGACTGTATCGTGACGATATCGTATGAGACAACTATGAACATGGTACTATGCGAAGTAGGTTAAAAATACATTTAAAAAAAAAGGTTTAATTATACTAACGCGAAAACATGCTAATCGTTTTCGATGTGAAACATGTATTAACACTCATTGTTTAAATTCATAATCGACTTTTATAACTTTTATACATACTTAAAGGAAAGGGTAAGTTTGCATTCTACTTAACTTTATATACGATTTAATCTAAATTAAAGCAAATATTAAGATGTAAACGCAAATCGGATTTTATGGTTTGACTGGTGTCTCGTTAACCGAAGAATACCTGGAAATTATTTCGTCCTTTGAATTTCGAACTAACGAGGATTTCCTGTATTAATACATACGTCTGATAAGTATTAACATAAACCAAATTCTTGTGTTTGAAATAATACTTTCAAACGCAAGAACTGAAATCAATTGAAATCAATCAGAGTTCACAAAACGTGACAATTTTACATAGGACAAAAACATTTGTTAACGATTACACAATGCAACAAATTGCAAGGTCATAAAAACTTTTTTCGAAAATGTAGGCGTTCTTTATGTATTTCGACCTCCTGAATTCGAAAATGGTACTCAAAACATCGTATCATCCACAGTTTTTGCACAAATCGCATATTTTGCAATAATGACCTCAATGCCTCAATACCTGTCGGCCAGTCTGTGCACCTGAAAGAAACATATGACAACATTAAGGCACTTCTTACTACCATTCATTATGAGGATCACAATTGGATGGTGTGTGGTGATTTCAAAGTGTTGAGTATGCTTCTAGGACAACAATCAGGATATACCAAGTTCCCCTGTTTCATCTGTGAATGGGACAGTCGAGCTCGTGACAAACATTGAGAGTAAAAACAGTGGCCTCGAAGGTTGGAATTAGTTCTAGGGGACAAAAATATTAAGTGTGACCCTCTAGTGGAAAGAGACAGAATAATTTTACCACCTCTGCACATCAAATTGGGCATAATGAAGCAGTTTGTCAAAGCATTAAATAAGTGTGGCTACTGTTTCAAATATCTATGTTGCAAGTTCCCCAACCTGTCAGATGGTAAGTTGAAAGAGGGCGTGTTCACTGGTCCCTATATTCGGAAAGTAATGCTAGACGAATTCCTTCATTCAATGAATGCCGTGGAGCGAGAAGACTGGACTGCCTTTGAGTGTGTGGTTCAAAACTTTCTGGGAAACAATCGTAGCTTAGAATATATCGACATAGTTGGAAACATGCTGATGAAATTCAAAATGCTCGAATGCTCAATGAGTTTGAAGTTACATTTTTTAAATTCGCACCTTTTTTCCTCCAAACCTGGGTGCTGTAAGTGAGGAACAGGGTGAAAGATTCCATCAGGATATCAAGGACATGGAACGACGATACCAGGGAACTTGGGATGTTCGGATGATGGGCGACTACTGCTGGATGCTTCACCGTGAGCACATAACGGAAATTCCCTATAAGAG